AGAGGAAAATAAATATTGTTTATAGAATAGCAAATTGAAATCCAATCAACAATACGTTTTCCTGTATATTGTATAAAAAAAAGTAATGAAATTTCTTTATATAAATATTCAATCAAAATTTTAATTTGCATGTTTTGTTGTTACATATTTATTCATTACATTTAACAAATATATACAACAATTCCTCGCCTTAAAAAAGAAACATATATAAATTAGTTCATAAAATTGTTTTTTGTATGCATAAATAATCGATTTTTCTTTAATAAAGTCAAATTTTTGTATGTATTTTTGTATGTACAAAGTATTTCTGTATTATATTACAATTTTATTTTATTGATAACATTTATAACATTAATTCAGCGATTTTATAAAATATCATTCATATCTGTATTAAGATTAGCATATTTATATTATAAAACTGCATAGAACGAATAAAAACATATAGCAAACACGAAATAAGATCATTAAACTTGCTTTGCAATATCTAAAATAACTTGAATGAAATAATATTATGAATATTTTTCTTACAATGTCTAATTATAATATTTACATTTTCTGTAATTACAATGTGAATGGTGCAATTGTAGTAATAATATTTACAGTTCTTTTTTTTTCTTCTATTGTTATTTCTATAAATATGGTAGTTATTCACGCTAATTATATTCATCAATTTAAATAATTAAAAAAAAGGGAATGCAATTTGCAAACCTAATTTGTTAAATTATTATTTATCATTGTGAGCAGAAGTAATGAATTTCTTTTTCGTATGCAAATGAAATATACTTTCATATTCCCATGAGTAATTTGCGGTTTAACAGTAGCACATGACTTTTAGCATTTGCAGCCCATTTCGTACCAAAAATAATCCGTGCTAATATGATCCACGTTTCAAATCACAGCGCGAGTTTCTAATGGCTTTTGAATACACCTTCTGATGACTTCCGGGATCAACAGCATAAAATTATTTTTAAACCTTCGTTAAATTTGTAAAAGATATTTCAGTTATTTTAGGAGAAATATCAATTATAAATGTAGCGAAACTTAGTATAAAAAATTGCTTGGAAAATTATTTTCATTTCAAACTGATGAAATTATTAACAAAATATACTTCAACTTGATATATTATTCAAATAATATAAACATTTTTCAAGAACATGACTATCCAGTGAGTCTATGTTGTTTTTCTCTATTTATTTATTTTATATGTAGGCATACTTGAAGATCTAAATATTAGTTTATACTTAGACGAACAAAATAAAAGTTTATAGACGTGTTTTTATATGATTCATCCTAACAAAATAAACACATTTCTTTGTAAATTCTTTCAAGTTATGGTGTTTTTCTAATTTGGTGATGTTACGTTTAAAATAAACTTTTCTTAATTCTACTTAAAATAATGTAGACTTACTTACAAGTAATAAAAACAAACAAATTTATTAATACCGTTTAATATAAATAATTAATTGAATAAAATATCAAATCGAATTGGTTTAATTGTTAGAAAAATATTACAAAATCGAATATTTTTTTAAAGTAATTGAAATTTATTATAAATTATTTATACTATGGTGATAATTCTCTGTATTTATTATGTTAAATTTTCCAATAAATAAATAGATTAATATAATAAAAATCAAGTTTCTAAAAGTAAATCAAGCTTTGAAGTCATACTTTATGTAAATCGTCGGCTATTGCATAAGTTGGAGCATTCTAAATGGTTGCAGTTAAAAAAATCTATTTAGAACGAATTAAGGACGAATTGATTTTTTTGTACATAACATGACTAGACACTTTTAGAATCACACTGTCTGCACGTTTTTGGCTGCGGTTCAAAGGAAGCAGTTATAAAGTTGTTCATTCAAAATGGGATTATCTAAATTGTAATCTGGAAAAAATAGTATTTATAGAAAAACTAATCATTTCCCACCGAAGCCCGAGGCTAACCCACATTCCTAGAAGATCACCAAAACACAGACACATAATCATTGCTTTTATAAATAGATTGTGTAACATCAAATGAATTCTAAAATGCTGTTGTTTATGTTTGCGTTTAGTTTCAATGATTTCCTTGTATTAATATAATTGTTTGTTTTGTATGTGAATTATAGTGTGCATTATGAAACTAGTATTTGAAAGTTTATTTATTTCTTTATTTTTATCTACTGATTAAATTTGATGAACGTAACTTGTTTATAATATCTAGTAAATCATAGATCAAAACGAGAATTTGTGTACTTCTAATACTCTCTTATTCTATATGTCCTTAGTTGACTAGTATTTTAGCACTATTCAAAATACACGTTATTTAAGTTCTTGTAAGCTGTTAAACATTAAGTATCCAAAGAAGTACTAAGATGTAAATAAGATGATTAGATAAATATAATTTGCAGAACTCACTTTGCACATAATTGGAAAACGAGTTTCGAACGAGGAGGCTTTTGAAATAAAGTCCTTAAAGTAAACATTAATGAGGATGTTGAAAATTGTGCACAAGCAAAACTGGTGTTTATATTAAAACTGAACAAAAAAAAAAGAGAAGAAGAAGCAGTTTCAACATTGCTGCCGTGGAAACTCGTATTTATTTACCTATTTCCGAGAACATAAGCACACGCAGCCGGCCTCTGGTTGTTTGCGAAAATAATCCTCTGCAGCCAATAATAAATCGCCGCATTTTGAAAATATATGTGCCAGTTTTTATTGGCGTATTCATTAAATGTCCAATCGACTGCGCTTCTGTTGCTCCAACCGAGATAATTTATTTCGTTCGTTTACTTTTTTGTGTCCTTCTCTTCTTCTGCTCATTCTTTTCGTCTGCGAAAATAATAGGTTGGAAGGGTGTTTTCGGTATGAATGCGCGCCGCGTGTTATCAGGGTACCACCGGGCGTTGGAATTCATTAAGCCTCGCTTATATAAATTCTTGAAATCGCTATAGTTGATAACCAGGCCATCGCTTCCCCCTCTTTTGTATAAACAGCGCGCTGAAAAGGCCTGAAACAAAATATAAAAAAAATATAAACAGTGAAGGGAAGAGAGAGAGAAAAAAAATGAGCGTTGCGTGCGAAGTATGTTCATATTTTTACGGACGGTTTTAATTTAAAAAAAAGGAAACGCATACGCAAATCATTTTTGCTTTTGTTGAGATCCATGCAGCCATTACGTAAACGTGACTTTTTTTTTATTAGTATATTCATGGTATTAGTTTAAGTGGAAGAGATGTATTTCTTTGTGGTTACAAAATTCATCGTCGTATAACGTTTGCAAATTTTATTAATGTATGTTTTAGTACAATAGACTGAAGCTTCTAGTTTAATTATAATATTGCTTAGTGGAAACATGAATCTCGCGTAGCTTTTAGATAGTAATTATTTAAGAAAATTAATGAATCAGTTTAGTTTCGATACTTACAAATAGATCAAACTTTTGAAATACTATGAGGCAATTTACAAATTAAATATTATATAAAGTATAATACTCTTCATTTAGTTAGTACTTAGTTGTTTACTTTTGTTTTTCAATTATTGATGATATTTGTTACTTGAGACTATTTAAGAGACGTTCTCAATTCGTTCTTCATTGTTGCAATGGTTTTAATAAGTGATTTGGTCTGAACACATACAGATTTATTAAATCGTTTACTCGTTTCTATTTAATTGATTCTTGTCAGTTTTGTGGGATTACAATATTGTCCGACTTATTCAAATTAACTTTTAATTGTTATTATGTCTATGTCAGTACTAAGATGACAATTAATAAACGTCCAATTGTTTTGCTACTATGTTTGACGTTGTCATTTTTGGCAATTATCTATTAATATGGTGTTATTATATCAATTATTGGTATTAATATCTTTTTGATGTGATCAATTGGCGTCTATGATCAACATGGATATATCTGTTTGATAGATGAATACATTAGTATCTACCTATGCTTGTAAGCAATGAAACAATGAAGGAGAATCTCATGGAGCATTGGTCTTCCTGACCGCCAATGCCAGACAAATTAATCAATTAGATTCTACTACAATACACCCACGCGCACATGCAGATATAACACCTTCTGTGTAATATCGAGGTTCCCCTTTGGCAATCCGCCAATCTACAAATAGAAGGCTGCTCTCGCGAGATGCACGCGCTGCCCCATAACCATCATCATCATCGGTGCTACCACCACCAGCATCAGTAGCAGCAGCCTCATCACCTTCCGCCTTCAGTCTGTGCCCGAAATCCACGTTTCCAACACAATTTCGTTACACTCGCGGATAAATTTCCATCCGAACTATGTATACAGCATTTGGGTGCGCTCCAAATGGATTATCGTCAAGAGGAAACGAATAAACTGACTCGTACATACGGTAAATTGCTTTCAAATCAATTCAATGGAATCAAATTTTCCCATCCACTGGGCGCGCGACGAAGCCCTACCCCCAAGAAAGTTTCCGTTGCTTCGAATCAAAGTCAAATCGCGAAAGGAAATCCAACAAACTTGCTTTCGTTTTTTCATATATCCTTATACGTTTCCGGTTTTTCCCATTTTTGTTTTAACTAATATATATGTGTATATATATAGATATAGTTGCGTGGAAGGATAGGTTCGTTTATTGCTTTCCATCCTCTCTGCTCTTCTCATTCAGCTGCTGTGGCTCGAAACATACAACCAGATGCCGCAGCTTTATCGCGTTTTATTGGAGTAGACTGTTTGGATGGTATTTATATTCGTTTTTGATTTCGCTTCTCCGGCCTTCGACAATGCCGCGCGTTGCTCAAAGAATAATTAAATCGCCAAAATATTTACGCCGGAAGCATTCCTAGGAATGCTGGTCTTTCGTCTAAGCTTATATAGGTCGGAACAGCACGTGTTCTCCTTGCCACATACATAGTTTACATTGCGGGCCGAAATGGATTTAAAAATGAAATTACGTTATCTCCCACTTTTCTCTCTCCAGTTCTTTCTTTATGTTTCTTTGATGGTCTTAATTATAACACTTGTAATCTCGTGGTAGATGGAAGTAGCAGTGATGCGAGCATTACAGAAGACGATGGCACGGTGAAAGACGACGATGCCTGGTGCAACGGTTCACAATCCTCCTCAACTTCAACCTCTTCCGCACGTGGAAAAGGTTGCTTAAGTCTGGAGAACCACATGCAGACAGTGGATAGCTCGATGCGATGCAACGGTGATTTCCAGTGGATAAGCAAGGACAAGAAAATGGAAGAGGTGCAGAGTAAGCCGCCAATTAATAGACGTGAGAGGACGCCACGGAGGTCGGCGGAGAATACACCACCAGGTGGTAGTTTGGATAGGCGCAGGCATGCTCAACAGTCACGGCAGGAGCGCGATCAAAAGTCAAGATCCTCTCACGTGCTGAAATCGCCTTCTCCGCAACACCAACCTCCACCACGTCTGGATGACTACGTCCAGCCGCAACCGCAATACCCGTGCCAGAATTGGTGCTGCAATCCGCACGGAGCCGAGCTCTACTTCGAGAACTTTCACCGTCGCCACGAGAGAACTGATCCCCAGCGCTATGGCAGCAGTCCGATGTTGATGGACCGTTTTGTCGATGGCAATAGGGGCAGTCACCCCGATCTCTACCGGCCTGGCGAGATGCCGTGTTACGCATATCACGTGCCGCCTCATCATCCTCCGCCGTTCTATTACTACGGCGACTCCAGGGGTTACCACTGGACCCCCAATAAGGTGCCTCTTCAAGAAGACATCCGCTCTAATCGTACTAATAACACACTATTTATAGCATGCTACTGGCGTACTAAAACCTCCTCTTTATTATATGTGTATTTAATACCCACGGCACAAATCGCATAATACTATGACTATTGTTATTATTAATACAATATCATATCTCCGTATATTCATGCTCAAATTTAATTTGTTACAGCCTCCGGACCAGGATGAGCGTATGCGCAAATTGCAGGGGGAGCGCGATAATTTGCAGCTGCAGGTGCAGGTACTCAGCGAGCAGATCGAGGCTCAGGGGGATAAGATCACCGACCTGGAGAAATGCCTCGCCGAGAAGAAGCAACAGCTTATCAACTCCGAAGATCTGCTGCAGAGGGTAAGTCGCAGACATCCTTCGCTCCGGGGATTTGCGGTCTCCTAAATCCAAATCTACTCTGGACGCATTAAAACCAACGCGAAAATATGTCACGTTTGAATCGCGTTTTACAGGAAATGCTGTCCAGATCTTCCCTGGAAACTCAGAAATTGGAATTGCTATCCACGGTCAGCGAGTTGAAGCTGCAGCAAGCCACGCTCGAGAGGGAAAACATGGAATTACGAAGTGCACAAATGAACAACAACGCGGACAACAAGAAACCACCTTACATAAGCAGGATATCACCGCAGCCCACGCACACTTCAACTCCTGTTCATAACAGCAATTCCGTAAGTTCCATTTAATTAAATAACTTTACGTGATTACAATTTCATAATTTTCCATTCACTATATTCAATTCTTCAAAGAGTAAAATTTCAAAATTCGTAAATTCCAAACAAAACTAAAATAACTCTTTTAATTTACCGTTGCAAGTCGAACCTAATTCTTAAATTCCTTTTAAAATCTTACCGTCACTAATAACTTATACACGTTAAGAAGATTATTGCATATTTATTATTAGATTTTTTTAATGATTAATAATATTTAATAAAAATAGAAGTATAACGATAAAATAGATGAAACATATTTGATATTGCTTTATTATATATATTTGATATCTACTACGTCATCTTGTATGATACATCAAAGTACTTATAAATCAATCAGTTTTATATGTGTACTTTTTCTTTTTCAATAAAAGTTTAACATCTGTAAATATTAAATTTGCTTTCATCAGCTAAGTTTGTGTTCCTTCACAAATTCAATTATTTTTATGATATTTGACCATTGCCACTGATTTTACAAAACATTTATATACTACACACTTATCTACTATAAATATTTAGGTGCTATTTCAACTTCATATTCTATTTTTAAGCATAATTTTCTTTGTATATAAATTGTGTTGCTATGGAATAATTATACAATCAATCTATAATTATTTTAATTTAAAGTATTTTTTTTATTAATGACGATTAAAATAATATCCAAATAATAGAACTTTTATTAATTTAATTATTAAAAACTCCATTTTCGAAGACTACATTATAAAATTTGTAAGTGACAGAGATTACTTCTTTAGGCAAAGTTAATAACATTGTATATTGATAGTGTAGCAACGAGCTATCGACCTTGGTTTTTATGTTTTTCTAAAGGATGCAGTAACATCCAAGCTCATTCTCTTTTACGGCTACACTTGAGCATTTTAAAGTTCTCGTTGGTAGATATGAGGGTATTAAAATTTTTTGTTCACACAAGGTTTTAAGAAAGTCACCATCTCCGAGCCCCATTTCTGGATCTCTAGCTGCATCCCCCAGGAGGGTGGAATCAGTCTCATCCCTAAATCAAGATTCTCCGAAGGTGGGTTTTATTGTATTCATATTTATAATATTTGATTTTTTGTTTTGTTGAAATTGCAGACTCCTCCAACTGGGTATAGACGGCAAATAGAGTTGCACTATGCGAGTTTACCTCGTCAACAGTTTCTTGGTAATGGAACGGCGCTTTCGGTGGTGGACGCAAATGCGAACCCCGCCAATGGGGTTAGGAAAGGCGTTGCATTTGGTATGGGGCTTCAATCACTACTTGGGGGTCGGGCGAGGGGTCACTCTGTGCCCAATTTAGGTGATAGCTCGAACAGTGTTCGTCTAGCATGCAAACCATTACTGATAAACCTAATTCACATACGTAAACATACAAAAAAATATATATTATTCACATAGGAAAGTCATTAATCGCCTAACTCATATCACTACTATCGTATCTCGATGCTTTGCATACTGTACGCTGTAGCTTTGCTTCTTTTTGTTCTTGTGGCTCTCTATGATGATATGATATAGTTGTAGCTTTAGAGTTAATCGCGTTTTTTCTCACGTTATGCTTTTCGTGTGTGATCAATATAGCGGAGACCGAGAAGATCGTGATCGACGAGAACAGCGAGCTTCCGCAATCACCGAGTCTGCAGATGAACAAAAGTAAAGGGATTAAAAAGATTTTGGGGAAAATTAAGCGCTCCGGATCCGGCAATTTGGAGGATTTCAGTTGCGGCGAATTCCAGCGCGGAGGAATCCGAGCCACAGCTTCAGCTAGATTAGGATGGAGTGAGCCAAACGTTACGCCAAAGTAATGATAATGCAACAAATATTGGATCAAAGTTTAATGTGTTGCTGTTTTTATGTTATGCAGGCCCGACAAGCCGTTCTCTGAATGGGACACGGAGAACATATGCGACTGGCTGCAGGATTTGGGCTTGGATCAGTACGTGACTGAAGCGAAGCGATGGGTTAAAACCGGACAGCAGCTGCAGGAGAGCGGGATTAATGAGATAGAGAAAGAGTTGGGTATTAAGAATCCGTTGCACAAGAAGAAACTACAACTGGCATTGATTGACACGGAGGCGAATAGCTCGAACGATCCGTACCTTTCGAAGGCCGGGCAGCTGGACACCGCTTGGGTGCTGCGTTGGTTGGACGATACGGGTTTGCCTCAGCATAAAGAGACTTTCCTGATGAATCGGGTTGATGGAAGGGTGCTACATAGATTGACGATGGATGATTTGGCATTGCTCCACGTCTCCTCGCTTCTTCACGTGGCTAGCATCAAGAGGGGCATCCAGGTATTACGAGAACACAGTTATGAACCTAGTTGCCTCCAGCGACGGTCTTTACCAGACGACCCCGATAATCCCACACCGAAACAAGTGTCCCTTTGGACTACCCACAGGTAATAATCATCAATGCACCAAATTAAATCGGAACGAGAAAATCATAAATCCGCTTCCTATTTCAGAGTGATGGAATGGCTGAAGGCAGTCGATTTGGCCGAATACGCTCCGTATTTGCGTGGCGCCGGGGTGCACGGTGGTCTAATGGTGCTGGAAAACAAATTTAACGCAGAATTATTAGCATCGTTGCTCTCCATTCCACCTGATAAAACGTTGCTCAGGAGGCATTTAAGTACACGTTTTAAAGAGCTCCTGGGCAAGGAAATAATTCAAGCTAAAAGGGAAGCCGAGTCTACCTTTGGGTATATCCCACTAACTCCAGCATCAAAGCTCAAAGTGAGTTTCTCGCATTAACAAAACCAAAGAGAGCACCTCTAATCATCAAATTAATTTCAGATCGCCAAAAAATCGCATTTCTCGCTGAAGAGAAACAAAAGCAAATCCGAGGCGGATTACGGCGACCTCGTCTGTCCGCTCAACCAAAATTCAGGTGAAAATTATCAGAGTGGTTCTTCAATTAACAGCGTGGGTGTAAGTTACTAACATTTCTAACAGTAGATTTGTTTTTTTTATTATTATTTATATTTTTAAATTCCGATAAGTCACTTTAATGAGTTAAACAATGATCACGGCGGACAGTGCTCAACAAAAAAAAAACTTATGTAGTCTTGTAGGGCACTGCATCCCAAAAGCATATACAGAAATTGGCAATGCGCAATATTTCACTTTGCGCTCCAACGAGCACTGCTGATTTCCTTCAAATTATTTTATTATTTTTTCCTTCTGTTCCGTTTATTTTTCTCTTTTAAAATCTGCCTCGAGCTTCCTGTTTCATGCTTTGCGGTTATTTTGGGATCTAGGTACCGGAAATTATGATAATTCACTGCTAATTATCCCAATATTCTTTTAAAGAATCTTAACGATAAAAACAAATTGCTCACACAAGGTTTGTGCGTTTTATGGATTTCGATTTTTTACACTTAACTAGTCTACTGTTATTATTATTATTTTCTGTTTATCTAAAAATGTTTACTTACTTCGAATAATATTTAGAATGCTGTTTGTTGTTTTACACTTCTTCTGCTCAATACGATTTGGATTTTCATATTTTATTTTCACTTCATTTTGATATACTCTCTTTTATTATTATTTTTATTTTCTTTGTGATGTGTAGTCGAGCAGCTGAATAGAGCGATGTGTAGTGCAAATTATGTTTTTGGTTTTCTATTAACAGTGGATTGATTGAATGGAGCTAATATTGTTCGATGAGCTTTTCTCTTGCGTTGCTTTATTAATTAATGTCTCGTTGATCTTAGAATGGAGGGTAATTATTTTTTTAATGAATTTTAAATTAGATGACGAGGAGGAGCGCAAAGGACGAGGATGTCTGTCCTCTCGCTGAAGAAGAATCTGTGAACAGCAGTTCGTCCTCTAATTCGCCCCTTCCTCTAAGGAACGACACACATCAAAATGACGAAGGGCACAACTTGAACTAAATCATATCTATTATTTATTTGCATTTAGCGTTTCATATCGCCAATCCAACATCTGCTATAACCGAATCCTGAGCAAAACAAAAAATTCATTTGCAAATATCTATCCGAACAAATTCAACAGTACGAGATTTCGAAAAAAAAAATCGTAAGCATTTGATTTGCTTAGAGATTCTATTGTATAATAATCACATACATTATTATTATTATCATTATGAATAAGATCTAAAAACAAAGTAAGTTAACATGTAGGGAGTTTAGATATTAACAAATGTTACATAGTTTAAATGAGATTCGAGTCTTCCCCAGATCCTAAAATATAATAAGAATATTGCCTTAAAATTATCAATAAATTCATATGGATAAGAGTATAGTTTCCCCCTATGTAATGTCATTAGAGAGAAGAACAACGTTAAAAATTCCTATTAGAATAAATTAATCAAATTTAAAACACACAAAAAAAAAACAATACAAAACAAGAAAACAAATATGTTCATCATTTAGTATCTATTCAAATTAGATAGTGGTGTATTCTACTTGCCAACTTTACGTTTATCTATTTCTATACTGTTTCGATTGATGAGAGGATGATAAACGAGTCAAATGAAAGTATGCTGTGCCAATTTGTGGCGATCTATGAAAACTCAACGTTTGATAAAAAAAAAGTACAGTATTTAAAATATATTGTTACCATAATTGTATGAAAAAATAAATATATCCACGTTGATCCAATATTTAAACTATATTTAAGGTGTGATTTGCTGTGTGATGATGATGATCATGATTAGGTATGGAACAACTGGTTCTGTTTTATTTTATACCATATACATTTTCATTTATTTTATTTTCATTTTAATTATTAATGAATACGCGTTAAGAAGACATTGACAACTGACCAAATTGTAATAATTTAAGAGCGTTACAATTTAGATTTACGATAGACCTACGTACGACTTCATTTTTTTTCATTCGTTTAACAATCCTGTCTATTGTGTGTATGTGAAGATATTGTTTCTATGTAATTATATTTTGCTAAAGCTGTTGTTTATTTATTGTACAATTTAATATAATATATACAATGATCGATTATTACTTTTTATTTAAACTTCCTGTTTCTACTATATTTCAAGATCTTTCATAGATTTGCCGTTAATATTAAATTAACAAAATTCTGGACTGTATTTTTATTAATAAATGGTAAGTATATACGAATAATTTGGTGATGATGGAAATTTATATGAAAAGCAGAGAACTTCGTAATTCAATTATTATCATTTGAATTTGATACACATACTTGGCAATTGGAAGATGTCATTGGCTGTCACAGAAATAAAATTGTTGTTTAATCAAACCTGTTTCGGTCCATTCAAAATTATGCGACGCGCTGATTTATAATGCTAGAATATGTCCAAAGATCTGATAACTACACCGTCCGAGGAACTGGTGTTGAATTCACGAGGATACCATTTGCTGAAGAAACTCGGTGAAGGATCTTATGCGAAGGTGTATTTGACCGATTTCAAAAACCCAAAGGACCCAGACAAAGTAATGCAATTGGCTTGCAAAGTCATAGACACCTCTAAAGCACCGAAGGACTTCGTCAAGAAATTCTTGCCCAGAGAACTAGACATACTGGTTAAACTAAATCATCCGCATATAGTGCACATTCAGAACATATTCCAGAGACGGAACAAGTACTTCATTTTCATGCGATTCGCGGAGAACGGGGACCTGTTGGAATTCATTGTGAAAAAAGGAGCGGTGAGCGAGGCCCAATCCAGAGTATGGCTCAGACAGATATGTTTAGCAGTACAATACATGCACGAAATGGAGATAGCCCATCGGGATTTGAAATGCGAAAACGCTCTGATCACGAACAACTATAACTTGAAATTGGCGGACTTTGGTTTCTCTCGTTTCGTGATCGATGCGAGCGGTAAAAGAGTTACCAGCGAGACGTACTGCGGTTCTTTATCTTACGCGGCTCCGGAGATCTTGAGAGGTATTCCTTACCATGGTAAAATCGCAGACATTTGGTCCATCGGAGTCATCCTGTACATTATGTTGAACAAAGCCATGCCTTTCGACGATGGTAACATCAAGAAGTTGTATGAACAGCAGACGAATAAACGGTGGCGTTTTAGAGCCAAAGTTGCCGATTCGTTGAGTGAACAAGTGAAGAAACTAACCGGTCATTGCCTGGAACCGGATGTAACCAAACGTTGGAAGATTGAGCAAATCTTAACATCAGATTGGATAGCTATGGATCCAAGATTACTAGAATTGAACGCCGCTGAAAAGGCTGCAATCGCGCACGCTCACGAACAAAGGAAGAAATTCATCGACAGCAAAGGCGCTACCTTGAGTGACGTAAAGAAGAAACGCGATTCCAAAGACATCGAAGACATTAAAGTGATGAACACGACCGCCATTGAAGCCGAAAACAAAGCAAGGAAATTCTCCGTTCCATCATTTGCCGAAGAATAGATTTTATTTATACATTACATTGCTACAAATTTTAAATAAATTTAGAATCGATTATGTGCTTTACGAAATCGGCGATGCGCCTTCGCTTCTCCACCGTCTTCAGCGGTTTCACAATCCAAATATTTTCAATAGGAATTTCCTCATCGCCCTGCAATTTAACACGAATAATGTTAAACTAATTCTCCATTGATTACCATATTTCAATTACCTGTATCATATCCAAATCGGAGACTTCATCATCATCAAGTAGAGACATGATGATTGCTTCCATAGACATTCCAAGACCAAATATACTCGAATCTTTTAAATCTGTTTCAATATCTGTAATAGTGATTGTTGCACTGCATTTTAACTCTCTTAAATTTTGATGGAAACACGAAAGGTAATACTCCAACATTTCCGTCAAAGAATTTTCGACAAGCTTGTGTTGCATGCAAGAGTATATGAAAAACAGTAAATCAAGAGCTAAAGACGAACATCTAAAATTGTTAACATAAGAATTGTAACCAGTTACATAAAAATACGTCAAACCTTGTTAATTGGAAATCAATCATAACAGCATCAATTGGTTTCCCCGATTGATCATATTTTAACAGGAAATTAGGGATCCAAGCGTCTCCGTGCGTTATTACAGATAATTTACCACGTTTAGCGCATACTTCGCTTATCAATCTTAAATGAATATAATAAAAACTCAATCGCAAACAAAAATCAAACTTATTAAATTTACCCAAAGAAATCTCGATTGAACGCCACCTCATTCAATTTATCCAAATACTCTTTCGGTAATTCTTTCTCAACCGCATCTCGAACAATGTCTTTCAATATGTTTTGAAAGTTTGTGTACCACTTTCTTTGTGCCTCTGAGAAATAAGTTTCCTAAAATAACGCATTTTTTCAATACAAATTTCAATAAATATAAATGAGTAAATACCTGCAGAGAATTTGCCAGTTTTTCAAATTCGCTCGGATGCTCCTGTTTATATGCATAGACCAAAGAGTGAAACTGCGCGAACAAACTGAATATTTGCTTCGTGTGATCTACATCCAAGCCGCTGGATCTCTGCGCGTTTCCGTATCCATCGAAGCTCAAATCTTCGAGCACTATATAATCGTTTGAGCCATCCGCAAAAGCTGAGAAACAACTGAAATATTTATTATTTTAAATCAATATCTTTGGCTTTTCGTGATTTTAACATCATTACATTGGAATTTTATCGAAGGGTTTTTCAACGTTTTTGGATTTCTGGTAAGCATCTAGAACTGGCCACACCTAAATTGGTCAAAACAAAGAGATTAATTTGATTTTTTTTTTGTAAATATTTTCATACCTTATTATAGAAGGAAACTTCGTTTCCAAAGAAATCGGCAGATCTAAACGTTTTTCTACGCCCCAAATTTTTAGGCAATGCCTTGGCAATCATGTGGATGCAATCTGTGACCTTTTTACCATCTCTGCAAATTAATAGACAATTTGTAAATATTGCACAAAATATAAAATGCTGTTTAGTATTTAGTATAACAATGCAAAACATGTATTTTTTAAATTAATTAATAATATCATTTATATCAAGTTATTTATTTAATTAATATTTGCTGAGATTATTCACTCCTTGGAAAATACTTAATAAAAGAGCGAAAATATTTATGTGTATAAATGTTAAAGGTCAAATTAAGGCGGTGCTTGCGATCTACACAACAGTCCGTGCGCATAATCAATATTAATTATACACAATAACAAACGATATTATAATACTGATAAGAATGAATGAATAATAATTTGTTGTAAAATTTGTAGCTTACTTATTTGTTCCGTTATAGTGAACGTTGAAACGAGTTACGGTGCTCAGGTAGGAATCGCCTTTCTTCGATTCAGAGCCCAATTGGATTTTCTCAATTTCCACATTCTGAAGATCATGTCTTTTCCTTAAAATTCCCAGCAACGTTTCTTTGTCGAATTTGTTCGAAATTAATTCTTGTAATTCTTCCACCTGTATTGTTGCCATTTTGTGAACCTCCTACTCTGTAGTTACGAGTGGCAATGAAAGAATGATGGGAATGAATACAATCAAGTTGGGTTTATACCACAGTAGTTGCACGATTGGACAGATTAGGAAGTAAATAGTGGAGTACGTGGACCAATTGCGTTAAAACAGGGATTATGGATTATTTCTGTTATTTATTTACTTTATGTTATCAATCCTTTCAGGCAATAATAGCTTCAACTATTAAATTTATTTAAAAAGAGATGATAAACCATATAATTGTATCATGATAATAAGTAATGCGCATAAAGTAAATAAATAAACAATATTTGTATATATTAATATTATCAACCATTGGGTTATTGACTATAAATCAACAAATAATAATAAGTTAGCTACATAAAATGTATGCAGATATTACAAATCCATAAATCCTTTGATACTATGTTTTATTTTTTCATTAAAAAGGTGGTTTTTATTAAATTTGATTAAATTATCTTGAAAAAAATAGAATTTACATTCAATTACTTATATCATTAATATTATTGGTTTAAATACATATAACATGATGATAGTGCAAATAATAAAATAGCTAGTGTATTTACTAGCTATTATTAATCTTTTGAAATTATGGACACCTTCATAGTGAAGGATTTTGGTAATTTGAACACTTTTAAAATCAAATTATTCTGGATTGATTACTTTTGTAAATCAAATGAATTTGAACTTGGATAATTATGTAATTATTTGTAGTTATTTTAATTAAATTTTAATGTTCATTAATCAATATTAAAATAGATTTTTTTAATTATAAATTGATACATTTTCTATTATTAGTATTTTTTAATTTAAACCAGGAAAATCCAATAAGACTGTTTAACCGTATTTATGCAACCAACAGTGCTTCCGGTCATGGACAAAACATCGCGTATCCTTCTGTTGTCTGTGATTGACGTTAGTGGATTTGTCAAGAGCTGTAACCTACAATTTGAAAGGTAGTGCCTTGAAAAACAAATTCTGAGCAATAATACAGTATTGTGAGAAGGTCGTAAGGTCCGTTTGTTGTCGAGATGGCAGATGAAGTGGATATACAGAGGTTGCCGGTGAATGCAAATGAAAATCATTTCGATAATTGGACAATAAAGTTTACAAAATCCCATATCTTGCATTCGCAATGCTCTACCGCTGATAAATGCGCGGCTCGGGCGGAAATGTGCAATTTCTGCATGTAAGTACAGCGACGAAATTCAATAATTATTGTAGGAAAAAAGAAAAGCAAAAAAAAAATACGCTAAAGTTTCCTCAAGTTAATTCGGTTGCCTAATTGTTTTTAGCTACGCGAATTCGTTGGAGCTGCCCCATTTGCCCGAAATGGTGTTTCCTGATAATATACTTAGCTTGAAGCATACAAATGGTGGGCAGATCGAATTCAATGCATTGGACGCTCTGAAGAAGGTTTCCAATGGGAAGTTGCCATTGAAGGTGGCCTGTTCTGATGCCTGGAAGGAATCAAGACCTGCAATACTTCTTGAGGAGAAGATAAAACCTTTTGATTGGACTTTCTCCACAGATTACAAGGGCACGTTGTCCGGAAATTACAGGATCGAGACAACTGAGGAGAGGATAAACATTGAGAGGTTGAAGGAAAAAGAGAAGATCTTATACTATGAAGAGTTGATGTTGTATGAGGATGAGCTGCACGACAACGGAATTGCTTCGTGCGTTGTTAAAATAGTAAATATCGATATTGAAGCTTAATCATATTCATTGCTTATAATTGGTTTCAGAGGGTGATGCCATCGTCGTTCTTTGTTTTGCTGCGCTTCTTTTTGCGCGTTGATAACGTCATGGTGCGTGTCAATGATACCAGAGTGTATCACGACTTCACTACTAACTATATTCTAAGAGAGTACACCAATAAAGAGAGTGGAGTTAAAGAACTGCATCTTCCGTTGCCAATGTTCGGTGATCCGAACGTCCTCTCGCAATTTATGCCTCTGAGAGAGGGTCTCTACGAGAAGATATACTTCGATAATGCCAGTCCTTCGTCTTCTGCCCAGAATGCAAATAGTACGAAATAAAGCCAAGTTTAATATATTTTATCATAAATACTTTCATTTCTATATTGTATAATCAATATTTTTTAAATATTCACTTCATTTCAAAAAAATCTTCATTGCGTGTAAATCTATATGTAATATGGTCTTGTATAAAAAAAATATAACTGAATTTCAATTTAAAAATATCAGTCATTGAGACACCATAGCTTTTCTTGGTAAAAGGCGGTTAATGGTTTAAAGTTATAATAGCGTAGAGGAAATAAATGTTTAAGCATATTTTATTAGTCTTTTTAATAATGTAACATACATATTTTTTTTCATCTTTAATTAAATTTATTTTTTTTATATGTTCTATTATAATTGCAAAATAGTTGACATTTGCTCCTTTTTGGAATGTACACATGTGAAATCTGTGTTGCATAACTGTTAAAGTAACCCACGTTGTTTGGATATAGTTTTTCAGTCATTTTCAAATTAAACATGTTGGACACAGACGAATTAAAAGACAATGTCACAGAAAATTCCGAATTAGTGAAATCCAGTAAAAAGAAGAAGAAAAGACGCTCCGAGAAAGTCGAACAAAACGAATCGTTAAACCAGTTAATTGATTTAAAGTTAAATGAATCAAATAATTTGGAGGTTAAAGGCGAAGCGACTGAAGATGTTATAACAAGTGAATCGAATAACGTAGGAAGTGTTAAGAAGGATAAAAAGAAGAAAAAGAAAAGGAAGCACGAGAAAGATGAGGTGCAGGAAGATTCACAGACTGAGAAGAAGAAAAAGCAGAGTGTAACTGTGGAATATTCCATAGATGATGAAAGTAATGTTGATGATAACATTGTAAAGGAAAATTCAATATCAGATGAACAAAATGAGAATGCCATGGAAACAGAATCAAATATTAATAATGAAGATGCTAAGAAAGAAACAGTAGATGAAAATGCATCAAAGCCCAAGGAAAAGAAAGACAAAGCTGAGAGAAAGAAGAAAAAGGAGAAGAAGATTAAAGAGAAGGAAACAAAAACTGAAGTTGAAGAGGAGTACAAGGGATTAAATAAGCAGAGAATTAAACATTTGAAACATGAAAAGAACAGTCATCAAGTTGCCATGGACAAGAAGACTAAATTGGCTGTTGAGTATTTGACTTTGTGGAAGGAGGATAAAACAAACTGGAAATTCAAATCTTTGAGAGAATCATTTTTGATCTACAACAGTTGCAATCCTGTTTTGTTGCCTGATGATTATTTTGATTTAACACTGGAGTATTTGTGCAGTATCAAAGGAGTTTTGAGGAATAAGGTGGTTGAAGTTGCTAAAAAAGTCAAAGAGGGTGATGTATCTCTGCAAAGAGCTAAACTTATTTTAGAAAAATTCACTGAATAAAATTATTTTATGTTTATTGACAATATCATTTTTTTCTTTTCCCAAATTGTATTATGATTGGTTTGCCATTGATTAACCTACCATTATGTTTAACTAATGCTGCTTTTGCTGTTGGTATGTCTACAAAGAAGTTAAATTATTAATTGAAATTTTACAATTAATATTACTAACCAGAGAATGTAATGAATGCTTGACCTTTCATCCTTCCATCCAAGAGTTTCACTGAAACCTCTTTGTTGCTTTGAAACAATCCAAGCAAATGCTTTTCCTTGATTTGGTTTTGTAGATTTTTCACATACAATATGTTATTTTCTTCACCTTCTGCATAATTCAGAAACTTTGCTAATTTTTTAATATCTTCCAAGCTCAATTGTTCATCACTAATATCAACCAATTTGGCTTCCTCCACAGTAACTATTTCGTTATTCTTTATTGTATAAAGTTGCTGTTTCATACAAGTATAAATTTTCTTTTCTATAATTTTTGGATTCACAGTTTCAATTTCCTTAACATCCCATTTACTTTTACCACAATATTCATTATTACAACTTTTTGATTCAACACTTCTACTTTCCACATTATTCAATCTATTTCCCAACTTCCTTGCTTTTTTCCTAATGTGTTTCACATCAATTTCTGTGCTCTCATTAATTTTCTTCATAAAATTCTTTTCATACTCACTAAAATTATCTAAAGGATGGGGAATTCTTGATTCATTTGAATCAATTGTTGCTTTATCTTCATTAACAATTTTCACAATAGATTCTATCCTATTCATTAGATGACTCTTTTCATAATTCTTATATGTTTCAAACACATGCTCAATACCATTTTGATAGTTCAAATACAATTTAACATCTTCATCACTTAAGCCTTTATGCTTTAATTCTTCAAGTCTTTTCACTTGCTCACCAATATCCTGGAATCCTTTTAAATTATTAGCTCCAGCATGGAAATTTGTAAGTGGAAGTAATTCTCTTGACTTAATAAAACACTTTTCCTTTAACAGCTCACTAAAATGAATGAATACAGTAAATGAAAATAATTAAATAAAGTTTAACTTACTCCTTCAATTTGATATTTTTGTTTTGTTGTTTTGTAGCTAATTGTTTAACAAGGATTTCTCTTTCTGAAGGACCTTCCTTCTCAGGTGGTTGAAATTCTTCTAATCGTTTTCTCTTATGAAAAGATGCCATTTTATCGTGCTAACAATATTAAATAAAATAATGTTTTACTTTTAGCTATGAACACAAAAATGAGGGTTATGAAAACATTAAATTATATATTTATTATTTATGCAACTTTATCTATACTCGTGTATATTAGGTAACTGTAGATTGTAAGTACAGGTATATTTTATTTAAAAAAATATCCTTTATAATATAAAATGTCTGTAAAAGATATTTTGAATAACCAATATCTTTTTAGTAAATTACACAAACTGGAGTTGTAGAATGTAAATATAATTATCAATTTGAATTAATTCTATAATAATATATAGATTTGTTTATCTGAGTAACATTTACAGATGAATGCAATAATAAATGAACGTTTCCAATGAAATTTGTACTAATTAAAAGCAAATCCAATCAATATTCTTTAATTACATATAATCTTATCCAGCAAACGTTGGAATAATTGAAGTTCTCGAAGAAGTTAAAGATTATCGATCTTCGAAGAATATTAAATTCTTAATTTAGATTTTAAAAATGTATTAAAGTTGATTTGTATGCACGATTTAAGAATCAATGTGTAAATCAGTGTGACTTTCGTCTTTGAGCCAATAAAGTATATTAAATTTGTTATTTTTAATGTGTTAATAATTGTATTAAGTATTAACAAGATTGTATTGAAATCATTTAGTTTTTCTTTTATATGTTAATATGGATTTTTAGTTTTGGTGACATTTGAACCTTTGTATCGGATATTATGATACAGCGTACAAATGTCGAATATTAAGGTAAATTTGGGAATTCAAATTGTGTGTGCTGTTGGTGGACTAGCCTGAAGTGAGAACAAAAGGTCTGATAGTTGCATAAACATTAAAACCACCCTAAATTTATTGATTAATTATTGCCTATGCCGGACTTGGTGTTGGGGTTGAACGAGAGAAGAATAAGAAAAAAGCAAGAACTGAGAAAAAGAAGAAAAAAACAAGAAACAGCACACACAATCGGCTTTTATTGGGGCCTCTCCTCTCCTTTCGTTCGCACAATTCCTCTTGGCTTCCCAGTAATTGTGTCTGCGGCCGGCATTTTTTCTTCATAAATGAAAAATCGCTTGTGGCTTTGTTACTTCTTCCCTTCGCTTTTGACTAATTAATCTCGAAAAATGTATTACGGACCATGCACCATACAATAACAAAACCGAACAGCCCAGAAAAGAGAGAAAAATAGACCGGAGGAATATTAATTAATTGTAAACCAAGTCATCTCTCTCTTTCACCGCCGCCTTCGTCCTTCTCCTCCTCTTATTCCACAGCCACCTCTAATTGTAATTAATTTTGAAATAACAAAGCGAACTCCAGGGTTCCTCGCCATGCGGCGCAATTTACGAAACGGGATCTGGAAAAATTAAATTATGGACTTTGGCTTTGGAGGGGTGGCAGTAATTGCGTTGCCAATTTCATAAATTCAGTTTCGAATTAAACAACAACAAAAAAACAGCAATGAGGGAGGAAAACACGTATGGTATTAACACGTTTCGTGATTGCTTTGTTCTTGGTTGTAAACGATGTGCGGTTGATTGAGGATTGTTGGGTTCGGAAAACGTCGATGATTTGCGCTGGAAATTATGGATTAGTTATGGTTTATTTCCTCGGTGTGCAGATGATTTAAAATATGATAAAAAGACAGAAAGATTCAAGGCATGTGGTCGGTTTTTACTCTTTTTCGTTTTATGGTGTATTTTATTTTTCTGGAAGTTGTTGGAAGAATCGGAGTGAGTGCAAAAGCAGAGTGGATGTGATGACTCGCACTAGAACGTAGGTTGCCATCGCGACGCCATCGATCCGAAGGAGTGACGACGCGCCGCGGAATTTCAACACGGCGCGTCGTATCCTTTTGCGCGCCGTTAAATTTTCCTTTTCCCATCGACCATCGGCAGTTCCTCCTTTCGAATGCGGCCCTTTCTGAACCCCTTGAACAACCATAACCAGCAATCTGACGCCCGTATTGAAGACACGAGACGACGGAGACGATGATGGTGATCATCATCATCATCATCATTAGACCCGGAATGATCGTGCGCAATATATCACATCGTGCATCGCCTTTGTGTGTACCATTTCCAGCCACCTAACACCATTTTTAACGATACATGAAACTAACGAATTTGCATACACAAGCGAAAAATAAATACATTTCATATAAGTTACGTCCCGCTGAAAGCATCTCCTATTATCATCATCATACATATCCGAGATGGAACATAATCCACTCTACTTTTATTTTAATTTTCTTTTTTTCGTTCATTCTTTTTTTTTTGGGGGGTTGGCGAAAAAATGCTAGCCTAGGCATTATAATTGCGAACCGCTGAGCTTTTCCAGCGAAAGAGCACGACCCTGGTTGGCTATATTGCAGCTACCTAGTTATTTAGATGCTAGGTAATATTTCTAAAGCATAAATTCGCAAGCATTTTTCACTAATGCTGCGATGGAAAAATATTTCCTTACATACCTTAAGCCGAGCAACGAACAAACATTTTGTAAGCTTTATATCCTAATATCCGACGCTCTCGGTTATGTTCTTAAAACTGTATCGTTACTCTTCTCTTGCTCAACAATACAAAATGAAAATAAATTTGATCGATATACAAGAGATTTTATAACTAAATATTACTTATATTTTCAGCAAAATCACTTCATTATTTCAACTGAAATGACCAATAAACTTATAATAATTAATTAATATTTATATCTATAAAGTTGTCCGGAAAGTTTGTGTTTACTAAAATTCAAAACTTTTATATATCTCTTTTTTATTATTAATATACTCCATTAATTATTTTCGATCGAGCTTGATCTTTAAGGCTAAAATCACTTGCTCCGATCTAAGCAAATCACTTTTGCACAGTTATTTCAGCTAAAGCAACTTTTCGATAAACAGAATATTTCTTATTTATTGCATTGGTGGCATTTTTGGCAAGTAATAGAAAAGTATCAAAGTCTAAAATGCACTTTGTTTTCTTCCATCTTCAAGAGGATGCTAAGTTGACACAAATCAATTGATTTGAACAAAACAGTCAATTGTTATTAACAATTCTAATATATTCAGTATTCTTCAGATTTATATTAATCATCTTATTATATGAAAAATGCTTTTACAGCTACAGCTTCTACAGCCAATTGTATTGGTATTATCATGTTAATAATATTAATTTCATGTTCTGAAAACGAAATATCAATATTTAAATCAATAAAAGGTCTCATGACAAATTATTTTAATTGATAGAATCGTTCAACCATATTTATATAATTGGCTGTTCCATGTCGTGTTGTCCAAAATCACAGATATTCCTTTTTTTTTTCATTTTTTGCTATATGCACAACATTGTGTGCAACATCACTTTCAATTTCCGAGTTAAAAAAATACTGAAATTTCCGGTATTTATTATCAAAATTTACCGGTAATTTTGGAAATCATATCGACTGGTTAACTATATACTACAAAAATTGAAACAAAACAGCATAAGTAGAAATAGCAATGCACACTTGAGACTATATTTGTTCTTCCACCACATACTTACACACTTTAATCTTATTATGTACACATTTGTTGTGCTATAGACTTGGAAATCATTTATTTAATAACTATAAAAAAAAATCTCTGAAAATCATTGGCAAATAGTAATGATTTCAAGATTTCTCATATGGAAAATGAAAGCATGACCATTGTTAAATCTCAAACATAATGAATCTGCTAATGAAAACCATCGAAAAAGCTATAAAATCTACTTGATTAAACGACATAAAACTGTTCACAAATCAATAGTTCTGAGAGTCATCTAGTAATAATTCTGCAAAACCGAGAAATATTTGTATTAAACTACAAATAAATTGTTTATTTAATACAAAATATGTAACATGTAACAACAATTATTTATTCAATATACGTGTGTATATAAATAAAATGCACACATATTTTTTTTAGTTCGGTTTATTCCATGTAGTATTAATATTTTATCTTGCATATTTTAATATGGAATACATATAAATATTGTAGCGTTAAAAATGATATAAAATAGTATTGTAATAGTTAATCCACCGAAACGTATATTCCAGTTTAAATGCCGGACAGTTTGGGTGGATAAAATTTTATATAACAAAAATGTGGAAGTTTCAACCGGTTCATTTTATTGTTCTTTTATTATTATTATTTGGGGTACATTGCAAAAAAACTGCATGTAATGAATATGGAAAATATATAATCGAACGTTTTTAGCTTAATAAAATATACATTTACTCTATTAAAATGGATTGAATATTTGTTTTTTGATTTTTTTTATAATTATTTTATTAATTTAAATTTTCTCTAAAAATAGCAATTATCTATAAGTATATGAGATTCTATTTCAACAATATAAAGAAAAATACAGAAGTAATAAGATTGAAATTGAAAAAAAATAAGAATGAAAAATAAACTCAATTTAAAAAATAATAATAAAGACTGTTTCATTTCATCATATTATCACTTATTTTATTACGAAATGTAAAAATTAAATTTAAAAAATTAGGTTAGGTTAATATAGGTTAGTTTCTATTGTAATATGTTGTAACACATTTCTTTTTTATATGTAACTCTTTAACTATCATTTGATATTTAATTGTAACCTGATCTAATACTTATATATATACACTTAAAAAACATTTGAAACTGTCAATCATTTTGCGACGTTTCCCAACATATTTGTTTATAACATAAAAATGTTGACGCTTTGATGTAAAGTGACAGTTTTCATTACGAAACCCATCAAAAATTTGAGTTTAGGTTAAGTTAATTTAAGTTAGTTTCTGTTCTAATGTGTTGTAACATATTTCTTAATCATTTTTTCTTCTCAAATGGTGTCTATTTTTTTTTCTCTTTTTTATATGTAATTTTTTAACTATAATTTGATATTTAATTGTAACCTGAAATATAAATATTTATAAAAAACATTTGAAACTCTCAATTGTTGCGTTATCCAACATATTTGTTTATAACATAAATGCCTTGACGTAAGGTGACCGTTGTCATTACGCAACCCAACAAAA